GCAATAACAATGCATTAATGACGCTACAACAGCATCTATTTCTTTTCCTTCTTCCACTATGCTTCATCCATAGTATTTATATGTTTATGCAGTTATTATTACTTTGTTGTTGTTGTTGCTGCTTGCTTTATTGACTTTATCAAAGTGGGGCATTAGTCACAGCATGATTGCGCGCGGGAATTGCTTGCATTTTACGCTTCTATCGTGCGCTATGCGATTGTATGATATACGTATGTGAGAATGAGTATTATGGGGCTATTTGCAGGCATGCACAATGTATCCATAGACATTAGAGTATCGATTTTCAAAAAAAATGTACATAAAGAGAAAAACCGAGAAGTTTTACTTGACGTGCGAGCATTATTAGTCACAATTTCTGTTTTTTCCCCAACAAATGCTATAATTTATGTATGGCATGCAATATGTACTCGAATTTATTATTGCACTTTTTCGGACTATGTGCTGTAACGTTAAATGGCATTTCACATGAAGTGAATTAATTGATTTTTTCAACAAAATACTTAACTTGCTTCATACATATGAGTATGTAAGGCTTACTTCTCGTGAAAATTGTTGATCAATTTGATTGCAGCTGTTGTTGTATAAGACAGCACACTCAATGTTCTTGTGCTAAAATTAAATTTATGTGGACCAACAAATATTTTCGTTATCGACGATGGTAAAAATGTAAAGGAACGGAATAACCGAGAAATAATTAAGAAATATTTCAGACATAAATTTCTCCCTGGACACTCATTGCTCATTGCAGCAAATGATGCAGTGCAGGTTCGCCTTCAAAATATTGACATGAAATTTTGATGAGAAAAGCAATCACTAATTCCTTCCAATATTAACATGAATAAGAAGGGTCAGAATAGCTTGGGAATCTTTAATTTAGTATTGTAGGGGTGAATTAACAGACATGAAATGAAAAAGGAAGTAGAAAATTTGAGTGAGAACAAAAAGATTATTTCCATCTGCTGGTTCATGACCACTTAATAAGTTCTTTTGCTTTATGACCTTAAAACGTGGATGGAATTTGGAATTTATTGCGTATTTAATTATTTTCTCATTTTAGTGATTGTGTAGGATTCAGCAAATTAAGCTCAGAATTTAGAACATTTTAATTTTACAGCTGAATACAGAAAGTTGTTCAGTATTTGTTGAATTCAGCAAGTTGTTCAGCACTCTTGTTGAGTTCTGCAAATTGTTCAGCACATTTTCTGGATAAAGGAGCTCGTTCAGCACTTTTGCTGAATTCAACTAATTACTCAGAACATTTCCTGAGTTCAGCTTGTAGCTCACCATGTTTGCTGAATACAGCAGTTTGTTCAATAAATTTGCTGAATTTAGTTGTTTTCGTTTTGACTTTGCGGATGACTTTTGAAACAACTATTCAGCAAAAATCAGCTGACTCAAAAAAAATCCCAAGAAGTTATTACGATAAACTGTATTAAATAATCCAAGCAATCACTATGAATTATATTAAGGCCTACCTTCCATGACACTAAGTTAAGAGTTTAACGTAGCCTATGAAAAATTAATGACATTGATAATTCGCTGTTGATTTGTCGTGTTCCACAAAATCTCTTCAGATCCTCTTACATAAAACGATTTCCAATGAATTATGTCCCCATAAAAAAAGAGTTTTAAGAGATGTAAAAATTCAATCACGCACCAGACATTTCTGTGAATACGAAAATATTGTATACAGTGTCTTATCCGCTCATATCTTTCAATCCAGTGCACATGAAAAGCTCAAAAAGAATTTATTGCATTTTAAATGAGAGAAAAATTACATAAACAGACGAGGGAGAACCAAGGCCTTTTTTTTTTTTTTTGTTTAACATGGATATAAAGCTATTAAAGAAACAAACAAACCGTAAAATTCAAATGCATTGGTCATTGGATGAGCAAAAATTGATGTTATTTTAAATGCATCGATGAAAATCGATAAAAGTTTATTGATGATGTGAAGGAAACCACATTTTCTAAAGATGTAGTTGTGGATTGATGCTAATTGAAATGGAATAGAACAGCAATAGAAGATGAGTTAGGGGAGGTCTATGGAATTGATGATGAGATTTGGAATTATTGAGATGAGGATACGTGATTGCTATTTTTTTTTGAGGGGTTGTTTGGTCAATATTGATGTGCAGTCTTGAGATCTTTGGACTGAATATTGAGAGAGGGTGGGATCTAGGAGCTGATGAAAGGATACATCCTAGTACTGGATGGGTAACTTCTTTGCGTTTTTAAGTAGGAATAAGCTAGCAATTGACAGTTAGAAGTCATGCCTTTTAGCAGGTATCATTTTTAAGGAATCATGAGAGATTCAAATGTTTCGTGGATCAGAAGAGATATGAACGGAAACTTGACAATTCTGAATCATATCAGCCAAAGAAAGGATCAAAGTGATAATTTGACATTTATTTACTTGTTTGAGGCACACTTCTTGACAAGCATCTTGTAGTATGTAGAATTAAAATCCAAAATCTCATCTCAATGTTGAATTTACAGTTTATCTCAGATATCACCAGAAATTCAAACCATACCCAATTAATATCATATCGCACAGTGTCTTTTACGACTTTCCATAAATAACCATGAAATTTCTCTATCCCCTATCAAGCAAGTCTTCCGCATTCCTCCCTTTTTCTCTTCCTTATCATTAAATTCGGCATTAAAAGAGCAACATTTGCTGAATTATTTGGATTTGTGAAGCAATTCTCAATTGTTGTAATTTTTTCTTGATAAACTGATGTCTGTGGCTGAAGGATGAGCACAATGTTGATAAATGATATCAACAAGCTTCCTTAAGCGTTTTAATCTCATGTGTTTGTACTGCAGACAGTTTTTTGTGTATTATGTATTTTTAATACTAATGGAATTGCTTATCATGCGTAAATAATATGCTCAGCATGTGTTTGCATTGCTGACAAGTATTTGCATTGAAGTTTTTATTTATCTGTTTTGAAAAAAGATTTTTTTAAAAATGAAAAAGAAATTTGATAGCATGAAATTATTGGATGTTGAACTTTTTTTCATTCCATTATTCACTTTCATCTGGAACATACATGATTAATACTTCTAATAAATTTGTATTAATGTTGATTAATCATGGTTGATTTGGGAATAAAGCGCATTTTTGACAGGTTGTAATAATATCAATTTAAACGGATTTTTGAATTTTGAATATTAAAGATTGTCAAAAATTTAAATTTTAACGTTTTTGTAGAATTCAAATCTTAAAGGTTTTGTAACATTCAAATTCTATTAGTTTTGTTAAGTTAAAATTATAACGGATTTAAAATTTTTAAATTCCCTTGGTTTTTAAATTTAAAATGTGACTGGAACTTAAAATCCAAATACCGTTCAAAGGTATCAATCCAAGCAATATGACCAATCCAGCACAACCTCTCATTTTTTGCAATCTTAGCCATCATTAGTTTCTATGCTTATTCCTCATGATTGATGCGTGTTTGCGCATCTAATACGAAGAAGAAAAAATGTATATAAATTACAGTGCTGATGTTATGCATTTTTAAACTCATTGATTTGTAAAATAAGAGAAGAGGAATGAAAAACACAAAAAGATGAAAAAAATCGGAAGCGTTAAAGATCCATATGAAAAGATCGCTTAAAGACATTCAATAAGATTCAATATTTATTTTATGATTTTACGCTTATATGTTGAAGCATCAGCTGTCAACAAGTTGCGCCCACCACCATAAAGAAAGAGATTTTCGAACAGATAAGATTTAAAAGTGAATTTTATGCCTTAATTAGTAACACAAATGAAAGTTTTTATGGAAATGTAAATTCTTATCATAATCAATGCACCTCTGACTTAATTATGGTCCATAAAGTTCAATCTGAGGGATTTTTTATAGGCTGAATATCAATAAACTTAAAATTTATTGAATAACTTGACACGAGACCTCACCATGAGCTGTTTCAAGCGGTGTAATAAAATAACATATTGTGATGAAATTTTATACATAACTCTCATGTTTATTTACTTTATATCAACATGTGTAGCATAAGAAATGAAATTTTAGATTTTATTCTCACTGATTAAGTTCATTGAACGACTTCGTTCTGGTGAAATCGATCGTTATTGAATATCCAGAAATATTTCCTCATTCTGCACGAAACTTTAAACCTGATACGTCTTTATGCAGCGCGAATATGTAAATAAATTTAAAAAAAAAATCATCTGAATGGTTCCTGGTTTGTGCTTTTTTAAAAAATTTAATTATGTTCACATTCAGAGAAATATGCTCTCAGAAATGTATGTACATGTAATACAATCGAGATTTATGGCTTGACCTCGCCAGCTGCTTTTTTGTTCTCACAAAAAAGGTCATTGAAATGCGTGAATTTTTATGCGTGGTGTGAAGAGGATCTGTTGCTTGTTAAACATGAAAAACTTTAAGGGTTAAAATATTTTTGAATTTTTTTCAATTCTGCTGAATTCAGCAACATCAACTGCATTCAGCAACTTCAGTTCTGAAACTTTCTGATTCAGCACGAAAAGCCGAATTATGAATGATCAGATTATTTCATTGAAGTAGCTGAATCCATCAAAATTCAGCCAAATTGACTAAATTCAGACAAAATCAGCTCAGACTTGCATTGGAAGTAAATAACTCAATAATTCTCAGCTAATATTCGCATATAAAAGTGCTATTTCTGTAATGATATATCTTTAAGAAGAATTATGTGATAAGTACACGGTTTAAGACGTGAGTTATTCAACACAAGGAGATAATTATCTTGTCTTTACATGCTATTAAGAAAGAATTAAATAAATTTGCATAATGGTAATCAATGACTTTTGCAATACAATTCAAGTAAACTCCGAGTAACTCTTTATTATGTTTTCTTAGAAAACATCACATGAATGTCTGCTTCAAATGATTCCGTCACTCAAAAAATTTAACATATGTTATTTAAACTCAATTTTTAAAATTCTTTTATTTTTTTGTCTCTTGCAGAATTTTAACAAGACGAATTTTTCAAAAAAAAATATAAGAAGAAGAAGGAATCGAGAGAGAAGAACGAACGATTGAGCTAGCAACAAAGACTGAACAACAAGGCAAGAATCATTCAAATGCTGATAGAACAGCATCAAACGAATAAATTATGATTATTCAATCTTTCAACGACTTCAAGAATTTCCATTGAAATTCGAAGAAAAGAAAAACCAGTTAAACAATAAGAACGATAGAAAGCGAAATTCTCGAGATAAAAATCAAAGAACTTTTGCAATACATTAAGCAGAAATTTATTCCAAGGAGTTACGACAAATAAATAAAAATAAAAATCCCGTAAAAAATGGCAGGAACAGTTTTGCTTGAAGCGCGCCCTTATCGGCCATTCAAATCAAGTGAGGAATATTTGTATGCAATGCGCGAGGATTTAGCAGAGTGGCTTAATACCCTATATCCTGAACTGATGATAAATGTTGACAATTTTATGGATCGATTAGATACTGGAGTCGCATTATGCAAAGTGAGTATTAATATCCTTTTTAATATTTTTTTGATTGACGTGTTAATGAGCGAACTGATAATATATGGAATATCCCACAAATATTACTGTCAGTCCCGAAAAAAAAAGTATAAAGTTTCTGAGAATTTTTTTTCGTTCACATCAAAAAAGACGAGAATTTATGTTGTTATTTTACAAATAAATCTTGTGTCTGCATTTTGTTCCTACAATCCTAACTTAATCTTCAACATAAAACATATAAACACGAAGATGCATTTGAAAAGATGCCATAAAACGCAAAACATCATAAAACATCATCATGCGAGATGCGATAAAAGGCAAAAAAAAAACAAAATCTAAATCGAGTTTTGCTTCTTATTCTTCTATTTCTTCAATGCATAAATACATAATTTCCATGATGCACATGTCGGAGATCAGGCAATTATCATTTGGAATGAGAAATATTAATTTATTTAAATAAATGAGCTTCTAATTTCTCAGTTTTATGAGATGGGAAGAATATCCATTTCCAACTCTAAAATGATTGCAATAAAATTAAATCAAATGCATTCCGTGCTTCAGAAAGATTTTAATTAGCGCTGAAAATTACTACCGTTGTGAGGAGTTATGATGCTACATCAATCGGTCGACTCTATCCGCTTTTTGCATCTTATTAGTGCTTTACAAATGATTCCAGACAATTTTTCTTTCCTTCACTTCTTAGTGAAGGCATTCAAACACCGTTCATAAATATAAGCACATAGTTAGTCATTCAGATATATGAGTTCGATGTTAGTAATAAATGAGCAGCTCAAAATTAATTCTCTTTCTCGTTTATTTCACTTTAAATGTATTTTTTTCATTTAACTTTGCTTGCAACATAAAGCAAATTTAGATTTTCTTTTTTGCTTCCGTTTAATGTTACTGCCTGAATATTCAATAATTTTTTTTCTTCAATTTGTATTTTATTTTTTTGCTCGTTGTTGACGACTTTTGAGCATATTGATATTTTTATAGCTCCTATTTTGCATTACTTTTCGGGTTACAATTTGATTTGATTTGTGTTTTTTGATGTTTACATTTTGAATTTAAATTGTTGAATTCAGCTTGATTCAGTTTGAAAAAAGGTTGTTGAATTCAGCCAGACTAAAACAGTGGCTGAATTCAGATGAATTTAAAAGTTTGCTGAATCCAGCTAACTTCAAAATCATGCATAATTCGGTAGTAGTTGATGAATTCAGCTGAACTGAAGCAATTTCTGAGTTCAGTAAAACTCAAAAAAGTTGCTGAATTCAGCAAATCTCATTAAAAAGCAAAACTTGATCGATATTAAATTTTCATTGCAAAATATTCAACTTCATGTAGATTAAATGCTATGATTGCAAACTTGTGAAGCAATTTGAAGCCAAAATGCAATCAATAACATTCATCCACAAACTCAAATTAAAGATAATAGTTTTCCGTCATTAAAATTTCCCAAAAGAACTTTCAAAGTACAAACAAGGCCAAACATCAGAAAATTCCATTCTTATCGTGCCAATACTTTAGACTACATGCCAATAAAGTGAAATAATCAATAAATTTCTTATGACTGGAGGCAGAATGACTAAACCAATTGACCTGTTTCTGTCGAAAACCGCAAAAAAAAAACTTATGTGTTTATGGTCTGTAGACATACATATATATGAAGTAGTCATTTCCTAGCAGTCAGATTTTTTTCGTGCATGCTTCCTATATTTAAGATTAAAAATAAAATCTAGCTGTTTCCACTCCAAATGCTCATTAATCTCGGTTCTTTTGACATTTTTCCTGTAAGTGTCTTCTAAGATGTTTTTCCTCCTTTGTTTTCTTCATTAATTGAATTGCATGTACTACACACATCCTGGTGCTTATTTCGTTTACACTTTACCTCATGCAATATTGCAACATTGTAACTGATACAGTTAAAAGTTGAACATTTTGTGAAACAAGGAATTTTCTGCCAAAGATGCATCTCTTATGTGGATGTTAATCTTCATCGAGAAGAGGCAGAGAATAACAGAAATGTGTGGAACCGCACATGAACAAAAAGAAAGAAAAAAAGTGCAGTCAAAAGGCAACTTTTCGTACCAAAATGATGCATTGTTTTTTAAACATTGTTTGAGGGCATAAAAATGCACTTTTTACAGTTCCGAGAAGGAGCTTGTTATTGTCTTTTATATTGGTCTTTTTCACAACATTTCTTCACTGTTCCTCACTTTATTATTATTTCTGATTTTTTTTGAGTGTTTGCATAGTGAACAGCACAAAATATCATTCTATTTTAAGAAGTTTATCTCCAGCCGCATTTTCAAACTACAGGCGATACTTAAGAGATGAAATTTTATTATTTTCTCCCTTTATTATCTTCCCGTTGACTTTATCTCAATGGTTTTTGTTCTCTAAGTAGATTCTTCTTATACTTCAAATTTATGGGAAACATTCTTTTTGTGCTAAAATGGAACCACATGATTTAATGAATTGAACAATTTATTGATAAATTCAAATTTTTTAACAGCATTTTAAATTATTTTGAGTGCAAATAGAATTTTTATTGGGTCGTTGAACTCTTGGAGATTTGAAATTAGAATTTTATTGAATTGAGAGTTGATTCATTATCTATGAATTTGTCTGAAGCTATTAGTTCATCATACTTTTATAAACAGAGGAAATGTTCAGTAGCGATGTAGTGAGTTTGATAACATATGAACTTGTAAGCATAATACGGAATAGCTGATCATGCTCTTTGTTAGATTCAAAAGTACCTAATTGTGATCCTAGGAGGAACATTTCAAATACTAGATTCTATTGAGACTATCCTATCCTAGAGTAGCCAAACTTATCGATCAAATACTTCTAATGCTGACTTATCGTCAGTCTATAAGAAGTTTTGAAATAATCTGATTCGTTTAGAAAACGAAACACAACTAATAGACATGCGAACTCTATTTTCCTTATTTTTCTCACTGAATATGCTAAAATTGTGGCAAGAAAACAAGTTCTTAGACTCTTCTCTTCCCCCTATGACTCTTGATAAATTCATCTATGGTTAATAATCATGAATCTTGACTTAAACATACAAAAAGTCTAAGATTTTCTAATCAGCAATAACAAAACTCATCTAAATAATTAATTCTATTCACATCAACTCAAATACTACTCAAGAACTTGCTTAATTGATAAATTATTCTCATGACTTGAAATTCACAATTAATTTACATAGATGAGCGAACTCTCAACTTCACAGTCTATTATTCCTAATTGGAATGAAGTTAGATGAATATTCATTCTTGTTAAAGACGCATATCATTGCTCATTAAATCACATATGCATATGCACAGAGTTGAATCACCTTAATGCGCTTTGTATCATTAAAAATAAATTCCACTTTAAATATTTTTTGATAATCACATGAGAAGCTTTTTTTCTGAGAAATTTTTTAGCAGCAAGTGGATCGCGAACAAAAAGGAATTACCAAACTACCATTTAAATATGCATAAGTATCATATGAAGGTATTAAAGGAAAGCTACATGAATAAATGTTGCTGGGTGATTAAAATTCCTTTATTGACAGCAGCAATAAATTCGAAAAGATTTATTAGAATTTTATTTAACAAAAAAAAAGTATTCAAGTGAGTCAAAAAGAAGGAGCGGGAAAAATTTCTAATCCCTCGAAAATTCTTAAGACGAGATTAAAGGCAGTTATAAGACTTAGTTTTATCACGCCTACGAGCAATACATTTAGAAGAGAATCAGACAAAATAAAATGTTAATCAGCCTTTATTTTGAATGTTGTCAACTTCTTGGTCTTTGACATACATTGAATTAGTAATGATCACAGAAAGAATAAACAGACTGACAACGCTATTTGCATAAGAAGCGTTAACAACAATTCTTGTCTAATTTTTTTTTGGTTGACTTTACTCTGCACGATACAATTTTGTGTCTGACATTTTCAGCATGATATGTAAGAATTTTTATTGCCTTTCACATCAATTCGCACGCAATCTCAAAAAAAAACATACAGAAGATGAAAATAAACTAATTTGCAAGCACAACTGAAAGACGAGACGAAAATTGCCTTTCAGCAATTGCTCAATGATTTTCGAATTAAAATTTATGGACATGACAGACCACACTAATGTAGTTTTCTGATACCAGACAATAATTGCTTATCAAATTCATAAATTTTCATTCTGCTATCGATGTCAGTCTCATATAACAAGAAAATTTAAATATTCTCGACATGAGAGTCATCAAGAAATGTAGGAAAAGTCTTTAAACTTAAACTTACTTCGTTCATAATTTAAAAAGAAAACATCATTTCATATGCGTACGTACGGGATAGGAAATAAAGAAGAGATGAAGAACTTAAAAAGTAAATATTTTTATCACACAAATATTGACTTGCATATAAGACGATTTAGTGCATGATTAGATAAATAGAGATATATTATAATAAATAAACACGAAAAGAATTCTCTTTGTGCTCATTTTACTACAATATCAATGTTCAATAGTAAAATTGAATCTTTATTGAAAATATTTGGAAATTAATCTTACTTAACTGCATCGTTTGGAGATTTTTATGATGACAAATTAGTTTGTCAATTCTATTCCAGTTGAACAACTGTGATTAATGTCTAATAATTAAATTAAAGTATTTCTTTGATGCTGGAAATTTGAAATAAGACTAAAAATAATAATAACAACAAGAGGGAGATGTAACTAATTTGTAGTCAGTAAATTCAAAAATAATTCGACCGTTAAAATTTATTTCTTTAAATCTTACTTATAACAAATCCCGAAAACTAATGAATCTTGTGTTTGTTTGAGTATTTCCTCCATAAAACACCATAAGATCACAAAAATAATTAAAAATAGAATGAAAGTGAAATTCTTTCTATTAAAAATCACACATGATTCAACACTTCTTCCGTTTTTATCACGATTTCTTCATAGACATTTGCTCATTTACGTATTTTAATTCTCTACGAGACTTG